AACTAGCTACATAGTTCTTAATCTTATGAAAGTTCGAGGGGAAGAGTTGAGCTTTCTAATGCACTTAAAATCGAGTGTTTTGATGCAGATTTGACAAAGTTATAGGTGTTTTCAGGTATCAAAAGTTTCTCTAAATACTAATGAGCCAAATTTCAGTGCTTGTTACAGGTTGTAATTGGATGATTATGAAGGTTTATTGTTAGTACACTTATCAATACAGACTGTAAAAATATGGAAAAATATGGAGAGTGAAGCTCTCACCGCAGGGAACAAGATGCATGTTTTTATTTATTTTTTGCCCTTCTCCTGGCCTCACAATATTTTTGTGTATCAATAATTTAATTTTCTGCCCAGAAAATATTATATTTTGTGTAGTGTAAGCAGCAGGATAAGTGTGATTCTGATAATTGATTCCGATAATGAAATTGTGCTGATGAAAATAAAGCATGAAGATGTATGTCAGAATTCACATACCTATGAAAGAAAAGACAGTCAAATCCAAATTCAAACTCAGAGTTGGATAGATGTGTGAAGATTGACATATTATGATGATGTGAGTGCATATCATAGAATCTGCTTGATGCATTTTCAGATTGAATAATATCAGGATGATTATTATCTTCGGACCTGACATAGACAGAACCAGAGAAGCATGATCAGTGTTTTTTTAAACTGATTTGAAAGAAAGATAGATAATCTGTGTAAACTTTTGCAAGTTGATTGAGATGAGGATTTGAAGATAAAGATTTGAAGATGAAGAATGACTATCTCCTGTTGGACAGAATTTTGGAAAATTGCAAAAAGACCCTAAATATTATGAGATCATTGAGTTTTAGACCTGAGATATTGTGCATTGTTAACAAATGTAAAGACCAATTGGGAACTCTTTATGAAACTCGATAGGTTGATCTGGATTCAACTATATTTGTGGAAACATAAGAACAAAAGTAAGCGACTCTTCCACGCAGCAATCATATTGTTATTGAATTTATGTCTTGAATAGGAGCGCTTATGAGGATTGCGAGTCCTATGAAATCAACGGAGAAAAGACAGGTTTTGGTAACAATGTCTCAAGATTGATGAATGATAAACAACCGTGAATGAAATAATAAAGTTTATCAACCAATGATAATATATTAGATTGGATGGATTGACGGTATGACATTATAAATGCTTGAGAAGTTCTCAAATCAATAGACAATGAGATTGAATCCATCGAGTGTTCATCAAATTTTGAGATTGATTCAGGTGCTCATCGAGGCTGATTAAGAGACCCTCCATCAACATTCATTCTTGTTCTTGCTCCTACTGAAATCAATCCTAGAAAACTCAAAACAGATCATCGATATCGATTTAGCGCACCAATAAGTTCTTTAACTCTTTTCAAATCATCATTCTCCAGAGTTTTGAATTTCTTTGAATCAGATTCAGTTCCTTGATTATCTAAACCATGCATCACTCCTTGACTTATGATATCTTGATCGATAATCTAATCAATTGAAATTCGATTCGATCGAAAGAACCAATGTTCACCACTCGATCGAAAGAACCGATGTTCACCACTCGATGGGTTCGATTCCAATGGTTTCATTACTTCTTGATCCCATTCCAGATGCGATGGCCATGTTTATTTCTTTTTGATCAACTTACAATTAGATATTCCTCCTTTCAAAACAGAAAACTGAAGTCAATGTCTCAAATGATGATCATTAGTTGTATTGGATTAAATCTGGATTTGATAAGTTTTATCAGTTTTGAGTTCATCACGAGAGATCGATCTAGATAATTTCAAATATCAGTTAGTTGGTATTTAAATTGTAGAGATTTTAATGATTGAAACAAGATCCAGAATCCCATGGATCTGAAGATTGAATACGGACAAAAAGTATAAAACAAAGATCCCTAGGCCAGACGGAATTTGAACGTGGATTTCTAACTTATCAATCTGATTCTTGTACTTATGACCATAGAGCATGAACATCACAGTTTGAAGGAAAGTATCAATCTTGCCCACGGACACTAAATCTACACAAGGCAGCAATCAGTCTTGGGTCGCTCTGAAGTAAGAAGAATAGATTTGCGTACTGCTACAGGAAAAACCCGACATTGTCAGACTAAGGCGATTATGAGTTGAGCTGGTGTGATCAAAAAGGCTCACTTGAGTCCCTCTGTCATCTCGATCAAGTCCTTCACTTTGGTCGGCTTCTTCGAAATTCTCCCAGACTTCTTGTGTCGTATCCAAGGCTATTTGCTATGAAAGAGGTTCAGAAAGGATGTGTTAACCCAGAGATCTAAATTGATTTGAGAGAAAAGATATAGCTTTCAATCACTTACATTTTGAATCACAATACTTGACATCTCTTTCCAAAAAAAGTCACTTTCGGACTGAGATGACATGCTGGCTTTCAAGTCTCTATCAAGCTAAATCAAATCAGAATCTCAAACCGAGAGTCTAGTCAGAAGTTGGGATGTCAAAATGAGTATCAGTTCAAGTTTCAATCACCTTGAACCAATTTATCCTCAATCTGGGAATTGTTTTGGCCATCATTGAGTAAAGCTGGGTTATAACCAAGTATTGAAT